ATATATATATATATATATGAATGATTGAGTGAGTGAGTTCATTTACAGTTATATGTATTGCGGGAATTTGTCATGAGATGAGTGCATGTGAAAGATATTACTAGATAGGCTGTAGCCTTGACCAATTCATCGGTAATCCTGTTATTGGTATTAGCGGACTGTGATGTTCACTGCAACGACCGATCCAGATCATAGTCGCGGATGCTCGGCCTCCGTATCGTTGTTACAGATACCTATCATGCTATTAGGGGACAAGTCACTTTTATACTGCAAATTATATTTGATTATTCTCCGCAAATTTTCCAATTCCTGCTTCTGATAATTTCTTGATTGAAAAGCAAGTAGCTTATTTGTTTTTGCACGTCCAAGAAAAATTCTAAAAGTTGGTTTTGGTTCTGTTAAAAAAAAATTTAGTAGGTGGTTTCACGTCTAAGGTTGCTACCGGATCAGACAGCAAGGAAGGCAAACAATGATTCTAGGTTTTATCCGTGCAAATAGTCGCGTAATATGTGTTAATTATATGGTTATGCAGCCGAAATTCTGACGTTTGTGATTTTTGTTCTGCAGAATGAGACGTCATGCGTTTTAGCGATAATTTCCTTTAGTTGCGTAGTGGATAACTTATCAGCACACGTAAAGGACAAAGTTATTGTGCCATGAGTGGAATTAATTAGAAAATCGAATTCTGGGTAGTTTCTTTTGTTTTGGTTTGTAGATTGAGACCTATGAGCACTAATCATGTCGTGCTGGAATTCTAAAACCAACTAGAGCCTTTCGCCACGTTTTGAATTGCAGAAGAAAAGCGTGAAAATTTTTTGACCAGTCGGGAACCGGTCCAGCTTATCTTTTTATGCTTTTTTCTTTTAATTGTTACGAGCTAGCAAAATTTAGAATTTTAAACTTACTGTTCTCAGATAATTTGTAACATCTTTCATGGTGACTGATCTGAGGCCGCTTTGGTTAGTTTAGGCATTAAATCTAAATCAGTTCGTCACTATTTTATTTTATAACTCACCGTGTTAAGTGGTGCTAATTGTTGTGAACAGTCTGCGACAATTTGTTGATATGTCAGTCGGCTTTGCCACGTTGAATGGCAAGATTTGAATCCAAACAAATTTTTTTACTTCAAACGGTGCTTGTTTTAGGGCAGTTGTGAGCAGTAATGGTAAACTAGTGGAACTGGATCACGAAGACGTTCAGTGCTGGAAAAACTAGCAGGTTACTGCAGCTGAAGTAAGCTCAAAAGGGACTTAGTAAGAACACAGTTGATTATCGATGTTATCGAAGTGCCCCGCACGGCGATGTGTACCACGCTGTTTATTGGAAGAAGTGCATGATTGCCCGTATTGTTACGGTACGTATCCTAAGAGTTGCTCTCC